GGCAGGCCCTGGATGGAGGGGGTGTGGTCAAGATCCCAGGAGGTAAAGGTCTGAGGAGAGGTCTGGATGGCAAGAAGGGTCTACTGAAATGAGGCGACCTGAGTTCTGCTACTCCCCAGTAAGGGGCATCTCTGCAGATATGCTGAAGTCTGAGGTCAGTGGTTTCTGATCTTGCTACATAAAGGAATAACTTGGGGAACTTTAGAAAAATTCTGAGACCTGAGTCCCACCCGCAGAAATTCTGATGAATTGGTCCAGTGTGCAGCTTGAATGTTAGAATTGGGACCAGGGTCAAGGAGTGAACAAGCATATGGGTGTATCTGATCCCTCGCCTCATTTCCCTCTTCTTTCTCCCTCGGGTTCCTTTTTGGAAGCCTCCTTTGCCTACACACCCGCAGGTAAGCCTTCTCTGCCCTAGTGAGGTTTAGACCCCCAGTACTGGTTCTCCTCTCACTGGTTCTCCCCCTCATCTTCTCCAGTGTCCTTCCCACACTCAGAGGGACTCTCTGGAGCCAGTTCCAGGTAATTCTCTTAACCTGTCTGCTAAGGATAATCTCTTTCACTGAGGGCCCACTCCTTTCTCTCAGCCTCCCTATACTGCGCATCTCCCAAATCCCACCCCCATCCATACCGTTACTATCTGTGACTCCCAAATACTGCCACCTGCCATACCTTTAATGGCCTCTTTATGATCTCTGTCCCCAACATTTACCTCTCCCCCTCAGGCCACCCATAGGCCTTGGCCCTGCCTCCTACCCATGGCTGGCAGACTCGTGGCCCCACCCTTCTCGAAGCCCTTCAGCCCAGGAACCTAGGGGAAGCTGCTGCCCCAGCAATCCTGACCCAGATGACAGATACTATAATGGTGAGGAGTTCTAATTCCCTTAGGGGCACACCCAGCCTTGCCTTCTTCTCTTAATCTACTCGGGCAAACTGAAGGGAGCTGAGGAGGTCAGTCTTCCTGAGGTTGGTCAGTCCTGGGGCTGAGTGGAGTATGCTGGGGAATTAGGAGAGTGTCTTTCAGACCTGCTCTTCACTTTGGTTTCACATGTAAGGTTTGAGGTGGGAGGAGTTGATTTGGTGTGTTCTCCTTTTGCCCTCCTTTTTCCTGTTGTCCTCTATTTTCTGTCTCTGCCTCCTGCCTCCTCCACTGGGCTTCCCTCTTTTTCTTTCTCAGAAGCAGGAATCTCCCTATATTTGGCTCAGACTGCCCGGGGCACTGCTGCCCCTGGTGAGGGTCCTGTCTATAGCACCATTGACCCAGCAGGGGAAGAGCTGCAGACCTTCCATGGGGGATTCCCCCAACAACCATCAGGGGACCCAGGCACCTGGAGCCAGTATGCTCCTCCAGAATGGAGCCAAGGGGACAGTGGTATGACCCCAATTCCTAATATCCCCACATTAGCCCTGTCCAGAGCATCCTTCACCCTAACCCTCTGACACTTAGGCTGATACTTCCTTCTGATATGTCTCATCTTTGGCCCTTTCCTGCCATTCTTTTTTTAAAATTTATTTTAATTTGTTATTTATGACAGCAGAATGCATTATAACTCATATTAGACATACAGAGCACAATTTTTCATATCTGTTTGTACACAAAGTAGAGTCACACCATTCGTGTCTTCATACACGTACTTAGGGTAATGATGTCCATCTCATTCCACCATCTTTCCTACCTCCATGCCCCCTCCCTTCTGCTCCCTTCCCTTTGCCCTATTTAGAGTTCATCTAATCCTCCCATGCCCCATCACCACCACATTATGAGTCAGAATCCTTAAATCAGAGAAAACATTCGGCAGTTGGTTTTTGGGGATTGGCTAACTTCACTTAGGATTATCTTCTCCAATTCCATCCATTTGCCTACAAATACCATGATTTTCTTTTCTTTTAATGCTGAATAATATTCCATTGTGTATAAATGCCACATTTTTTTATCCATTCATCTACTGAAGGGCATCTAGGTTGGTTCCACAGTTTAGCTATTGTGAATTGTGCTGCTATAAACATTGATGTGGCTGTGTCCCTGTAGTATGCTGTTTTTAAGTCCTTTGGGTATAGACTGAGGAGTGGGATAGCCGGGTCAAAGGGAGGGTTCATCCCCAGTTTTCCAAGGAGTCTCCATACTGCTTTCCATATTGTTCTGCCATTCTTGATGTGTCTCCATCTACTCTTCTCAGGAGCCAGGGGAGGCAAAGTGAAGCTTCTGGGGAAACCTGTGCAGATGCCCTCTCTGAACTGGCCAGAAGCCTTGCCACCACCTCCCCCTTCCTGTGAACTGAGCTGTCCAGAGGGGCCTGAGGAGGATCTGGAGGGCAGGTAAGGATGCTGCCTACTTCAGGTGCCCCTCCTACTGTGGATCTGCCTAGAGCCCCCTCGGGCAGGGGGGCAGAGATGCTGGTAGAGGAAGGGAGAGGGCAAAAGGAAGGCCAAAGGGAAGGTATAGAAGCTGCTTGGTCCTTTCCTTCTCTCCTGCCTCTTTGCCCTCAGCTCAGAGTCAGAAGAATGGTGCCCACCAATGCCTGAGAGAAGCCACCCGATTGAGCCCAGCTCCAGTGGAGGGTGCCTGGTTGCTCCACCCCAAGGGGAAAACCCCTCTCCCACACCCTCCTATGGACAGCAGTCCACAGCCACTCTTACCCCCTCACCTCCTGACCCTCCCCAGCCCCCTAGTGATCTTCCCCATCTCCATCAGATGCCCAGGTAGGGAGGTTTACAGTGCTTTACATATTACAAGCCTTCAGTGCATATCTATTCAGTGGTTGTTGGGGTAGATGGATAGATGAATCTGGGGTACAGAGGTCTCAGGGCTGTGTCAGGGTGGAAGTGTGATTTGGGGAGGAACATGGAGTTTGACAAAGTCTCTCACTCCCTTCTGACTATCTCTTCATTGGAGAGACTCTGCAAGCTTCCTGTAGCATTTCAAACATGGTCTTCCTCATGCTTCTCAAGCTTGGGAAGTCTTCTGGGGATGGGCTGTGTCCTATTCCATCTGATTTAGGCTGAGTGTCCAGTACAGTCTTGGCACATAGTAGACACCTAATTTTTGTGGAGTGAGCAAATGTTGAGGCCTTATGTCATTGCAGGAGGGTGCCCCTTGGGCCAAGTTCCCCTCTCAGTGTGTCCCAGCCCACTCTGAGTAGCTATGAAGGGAAGCCTGCTGGCCTGAGTGCTGGCCTCACATCCTCCCACCATCTCGGCCCCAGCCCTGTCCCCAGTACAACCAGCAGTGCCCCAGGTGAGTTTGTAGACCCTCAACTTACCCCCACCTCTCTACACTCCCTCCAAAGGTTACTTCCCCTTGCTTCAAGTTCCTAAGCCTGATTTCCTCACTTTACCTGTCCTTCCTTGAATCTCCTAATGCTATAGGAAGAACCCGGCAGGTACCTGGAGAGATGACTCCTCCACTTCAAGGACCAGGTGCCCGAATCCGGAAGAAATCCAAGGCTCTTCATTATAAGAGGGAACACAGCCCTGGGGGTGAGAGGATCCTACACCTCGGAGATGGTGACAGTCAGTAGGGATTATGGGCAGGAAATTAAGGGTGGGTTCTAGGGACTGGAGCAGGTGATGCCAAATATTGGGCCATTCATTTGCAGCCTCCTGGTGTCAGGGAATGGAGGTGGGAGAAAGATTAGTGTCAGTAAGGCAGGAGACTCTGCTGAAAACAGGTCTCTTCTCCAGACTTGCCCCCACCACCCCTGCCACCGCCAGAAGAGGAGGTAAGCTGGGCCTTGGGGCTGAGAGCAGCAGGCAGCATGTCCTCCTTGGAGCGAGAGCACAGTGGGGAGAGGAGAGTTGTGCAGGTGGTGCCTCTGGGGGCCCAGCGGGGACCCCATCCAGATGGTAAGGAGGGCCAGGGCAGCAGGGAGGGGACTGGAAGCTGGTAGAAGGGTTTGTGTATCTGGTCAGTGTCAAAGACTCTCTTGTCTCTCGCTAAGCAAAATCCCCTGAGGTCCCTGAGATAAATCCTTTCCCTGGACTGAAGCCCAGAACAAGAGAAGAGTGGGGTCTAGGTGTTCTTTCTTCCCTGAGGCTATCTCTGCTTGGGAGTTACCCATGTTTCTGAGCTCCTATTATGTCAAGGCCATGTACTGCGTTCTCTTTTTCTTCTCAGCCTCTTGCATGATGGTGCCTGGACCTACTCCTTTATCATCTCAGAGCTGGGATAGTAGTGGGTGGCAAGTGGTTGAGTGGCAATGTTCTATTGCCTGCCTGTGCCCAGCTGCCCTTCTCTGTTGTGCTGCAGAAGAGGCCTGGCTCCCATATGGCAGACCAAGCTTCCTGTCCCGTGGCCAGGCCACCAGCAACTGTTCCACTGCTGGCAGCAACTCTTCCAGGGGTTCTGGCAGCTCTCGGGGCTCTCGGGGTCCTGGACGGAGCAGGAGCCGGAGCCGGAGCCACAGCCAGAGCCAAAGGCCAGGACAGAAACGTCGAGAGGTGGGGGCCAGAGATCACACAGAAATGATGCACAGGGCTAGCGAGGGTGGGCTAGGGAGTGACTGAAAATAGGAAACAGGAAAGGGCTTGCAGAGGAGATTGAAAGGAGGGGAATGAGTGAGGGAGAAGGGAGGAGTTCCCCAGAAGAAATGATAAGGGATGAGAGCAAGATGACACATAAGAGTCTATAGGTACCCTGTGGAACTGGATTGAGAGAAAGGCTGATCCATTACTGTGGCCTGTTTGCCCTGACCCAGGGCTTAACCAAACAGTCTCTCTTTCTTTCTCTCTCATTCACTCTCTAGGAACCAAGATGACCTTTGATGAGGCAGTGAGAATATTGAGAGTTCCATGGGGCAGGGGGTGTAACATCCTCTCATGGTAAACAAAGCTGTGAGCCAGAAGGAGCAGGGATGGAGCCCTCTTCCCTCCCAGCAATGATGCTTGGGGCTCACTGAAGCCCATTGACCTCAATGGTTTCAAATGGCTCAGAAGCCAGAAAGCCAGGACTTCCCTTTCCATCTTTTTATGAGAACTATTTGTATAAAAGACAATAAAAGGGGTCTGTTCCAAGCCCTGGGCTCTGTTTATTTTATGCAATATGTAGGGGCACAAGGGAGTTGTAAGGCTCTGAAGATCAGTTTACACTGGTAGTTTCAGCATCCTTTTGAATGTCTGCAGAAGCACTAGATGAGGACAGGTGCTAAGTGACCCGTCCTGCTTCCTGAAAGAGCTAAAGCCCACCATTACCTAATTCAACCACACAGACTTTCCAAATAGCTAATGAGGATAGATGTTCCACCTTCAGAGGATTGAGTCAGGCTTCTACTGCCTTCCCCTTGGGTCTGTCTTCCACATCTTCTGCAAGGGAACTTGCCCTTCACAACAAAAAAACAAGTTTTAAAAACCCAAAGAAAAGAGAAGCTTATGGGAGAACACCCAGGCAAGAAGAAAGTGCCTTTTTAGTACATCCCTATAGAGCCTGCTTCTGTATTGGCCCTCCAGAGATATCTTCCTGTGCTTCAGTTCATGCCCTGCAACTTGTAGATTCTGCCCCTGACATTTCCCACCCTGTAAGGAAGACTCAGGTCAGCCTGCTCTCCAGCAGCTTTCAGTGGCTTGCGCGCTGGAAGTCCTGCACCCACATTCATCTCTTTGTTCTGCTGTTTTGTCTGAAGAGTGTTCAGTAGCCAACCATCACAGGTGGTTCTACCTTTTATGGAATATAGCTACTTTGTCTATTTTTAAGGAACCATCTGGGACTGGTCTTTGGGGAGGAGGGCTGGAACTGTAGAAAGCAGGAATTTTCTACTCAGGATAAGTTGCAGGATCAGCAGAGCTTGAAATTTACCTGCCCACCCCTTTCCTGGATTTTGCTTAAAATCTGGCAGATGTACCTCACTCTCCCTTCAATTGCAGGACAGAGATGAGGGACACTCTGTGACTGTCCATGAATGCTCCACTCTTTTTCACCCAGGGGGAACTCTTGCCATCTCTCCAAGTGCCCTCCCCAAATAATGCCCCCAGGAAACGATTTCACAGAACTCAAGTCTTTACAGTTTCATCATGTCTAGTTCCTTAAACCCAGTGACAACAGGATGGGGAGGATGCTTTTGTCCTACATTCTTACACCTCCTTTCCTTTAGCTTCCTCCCTAGATCCAGCTCGAACCCTTGGCCTTAGCACTTGGTAGGGTCTCGTTGCCTACATACATTGCTCTTTATTTTCTTTACACAGTGTGGCTAGGGAGAGGGTTGAGCTGGTTTCTAGAAGAGATCCCAGGGAGGACTAAAGGGAGTCTGCAAGTGCCTTCCTCCAAAGCCCTCTTCCATTAGCTGCTGCTTTTTTTTCCATGGAGACATCACTGGCTCCCCCATTTCTCATGGGGCTAGCAGGAGACAGGGCTGTTCCTTAGGCCACAGGCTTTGATTGTGGGAGTGGTTGGAACAAAAGAGAGAGTCCTGAAGGTAGAGATGATATTTTGCTTCCTGAGGGCTTCAGTTCTGCTTTCATTTGTGGAATCTCCTGGAGGCTGAAGAAGGTAGACTCCCACTGCAAGAAGCAGAGGCCAAGACCCCCAGGCCATACACCAGGCCTTGTGGGCAGACAGGAGAGATGGTCCCGATGCTCTTCTGGCAATCTCAAGGACATGGTTCAGGAGGAATCTGTAGAAGCAATTGAAGGAAAGCAGAGTTAGCCCCCTGCTTCTACCTTTCCTGCTGGACCCCAGGCTGCCTCTTGACTCCTCCCCAGGACTCTTCAGGTTAAGATCACTACATTAGCTAGAAGACAGACACTCACTGCCATCCTTGGGAACAGGACAGCTCAGCTGACTTCGCTGGCAAGAGATCCCAGAGTCAGGGGGCCAGGGAGGCAGCCCCCTTCCCAGCCGTCGGGCATGGTTGATCTCCTCATCCTCCAGCCAGTCGGGCCTCCACTCCCACAGGGGCAGGGAGAGGGTGGAGGTCAGGAAGAGGTCATCCCGTGGGGAGGGCGGTGATGAGGCATCTGTCACAGAGGGTAGGCATCAGTGGGGGGACTAGCCTTTAGCCCTTAGGGACCAGTTTAGGACAGAAAACTTAGGACCAGCTAGATTAGGGTACACTTCCAGTCCTAAACATAATCTAGCCCCAATTCAACCCACTGGTCCCAGTGGCTGTATCCCCAGGGCCTAATGGGAAGGCTAGTCCACAGTCTCTTTTGTTTTCTCTCCCTCTGTGTTCCACATGTCTTCTCACTCCTGTGTGATTCCACACCCTTCCTCTTTCCCTGGCTGCAGTAGAGGTTGAGGAGCAACTGGGCTCAGCTCCAACATGTCTAGCAGAGTGGCCCCAGTATTTATACATCAGCAAAAGGCAGCTCAGGGCTTGCTGGCCCTTGGTGTTTCTTCCCCATACACCCTATCAGGTCTTCCAAGCCCGTCTTACTAATCCTAAATCTATACTTTGCCCCCAAGAAAAATAACTAAACCTGTGGCAAATGAAAGAGCAAGGATAATCCAAGACAAAAGTGCCCATAATGGAGGGAAGAGAAAGCCCTGGGAATGGCAAGTGTAGGGAGAGTATGGATAAAAGGCCAGAGGAAAAAGGATGACAAAGAGATGAGGACCATTGAGAAGCCTTGTCTCTTGGTTGGGGATACGGTCTAACATAGTGGGGATGAGGAGTAAGATGGGGTGGTCCCATGTACCAGTGAAGACGCAGTCTGTCTCTCTGGGCTCCAGACCCAAACCAAAGCTATCCACAGCTACTGCCAGTGCACGGGCAAAGTGGGCATCAGCGAGGAAGGAGCCGTCAGAGGAGCTGACAAGGCTGGCTCTGGCACTGGGGGCATTATCCTCAGAGGCTGAGCCCCAACCATTGACCAGAGAGCCCTCACTGGGGGTGGGGGTGGGGCAGGGCCGAGGTGGGCACAACAAGCCCCCTGCCTCAGACTCCACTCCTACCCCAGCCCTGCCCATGTCTGCTAGCCCTGAGGCCGTCGGGATGCTGATGTATCCATAGGTTGTGGGGGGTGAAGGAGCCCTTGGCATTGGAGAGACATTGTTCCTAGAAAAAGGCAAAATGGGAGATAATACAATGGTTAGGGTAGTGGCAGAAATGTTCCAGTCTAGGCAGATACTCACTGAAGTTCTTTGGTTACTCACCGGGGCGTCTCCTCACCCTCACTGAGTTCCAGGCAAAGGGCCACCTCCTCAGGGGTCAGCACACTGTCCTGATCCTCCCCCAGTGATGACAATGAAGAGCTGGACAGGTGACTGGAAGCTGGACTGGGACCAGAGAGGGAAGAGGCCTGGGGGCTGGGGGGCCTGGAGGGAGTACGGATGGAGAGGGGGGCTGCTGGCAGCGGGGCAGAGGGAGGTTGGGGCTCCACCAAGTGCCTGGTTGGGGTGAGGGAGGGATGGCAGGATGGTTAGTGCCATTCCTCATCCACCTAGTCTCCCAGCCCTGCTTCCTGACCCCATACCCTCTTACTGGGTCTGCTGACTCTGAGTCAGGGTTCCACAAGGAGAGAGGGGTGTTGGAGGGAGAGGGCGAGTCATCAGATCATTTGAATTCCTGAGAAGTTGTGGTCCCAGGGCCCGCCAGGCCACCAGAGCTCGGGGCACAGCTCCTGGAAAACAAAAATCTGGTGCTGAGACTGGCAGAATCTCATTTGGCCCCAGACCCCAGTCTGCCTGCCTGAACAGCCCCTCAGCTCCTGCCTCCTAGCCCAACCACTCAGCCTCCTTCAGGGACAGAAGGAGAAGCCAGGCAGAAGGGACTGGAATGGTGGGCCTCTATAGCCCGCCTCACCCTTTCACTTCCTTCTCAGAAACCCCTTCTCACCTGTGTTTTGAGAAAGATTCTTGGAACCTCTATTTCCCAATTCCCGGGCCCAGAGCTCTGTGGAACAGCTACCCCGGAGCAGTGGAGAACTGTTGGCTTGGTGCAACTCTGCAAAGGAAAGAGCCAGTAGCTGGGGGTCAAGCCAGAGTGGGCCTTTCAGACCCCAACCACAGACTCTGTCTTTAGCCTTGTTATTCATTTCAGCCCACAGGACCCTGATCCCAGGGGAAAGAGGGAAGAGCCTCTCCCAGTCCTCTCTACCCTATCCCCATCTTTAAACAGGCATCTGTGATAGGGTGGAAGGTGCACTGGGCCTAGAGTCAACAGACCTGCCCTTATAGCCTGGCCAGCTGTGACCTCAGAGAAGTTCATGCAACTTTTCTGAACTTCAGTTTCATCTGTAAACAATCACTTCAAATGATGGTTTTAAATAAAAGCAGATTGCAGCCAGATGTGGTGGTGCATGCCTGTAATCCCAGTAGCTCAGGAGGCTGAGGCAGGAGGATCACAAATTCAAGCCCAGCTTCAGCAATTTATCAAGGCCCAAAGCAACTCAGAGAGACTCTGTCTCTAAATAAAATATAAAAAAGGGCTGGGGATGTGACTCAGTGGTTAAGCCCCTCTGGGTTCAATCCCCGGTACCAAAAAAAAAAAAAAAAAAAAAAAGCAGATTGCAAATTCTCTGGCATCTGATAGATACTTTAAAAAATAACTTTCATTTCCTCTCCCTGATCTCTAGTCCCTCACACAGTGCTACTGTCCTCACAAATTTTGGTTTTGTGAAGACATACACTCATTCTTTTCTTGGGGGTAATCAATTAGTAATTTCCATATCTCCAACTGCAAACATCTCAAGTAGTTGTAAATTCTCCAGTTCCACCCAGAGGAACTTGAATGTCTCACTTGGAGAGGTGGGTTGAACTGTCAAGTTGAACTGAGTGAATAAGATCAAAGCAAGAAAACTTGGATGAAGCTAAGTGGGACAGGAAGGAGCCCCTTAATAGGAAGAGGAGCTTCAGGATAGGAAAATGTATTGGTCTTACTCAGGGAGACAAGTCCTTGCCTGTAGACAGTCACAAGCAGTTGTAGAATGAATAAGTGGATATCATAAAGAAGAGAATGTACATACACAGTGGTAAGAGGCACTTACAAAATGGCAGTTGTCATCTAGCCCCCCTGGACACTGAAGAGACAGGGCTCTGAGTGAACTCTGACAACAGAGAAGCTGAGGAAACCAAAAGGACCAATCCAGCCATGACCTGTGAGCATGCTTCTTGGTCAGACCAGAGCTCAGAATGACATAAGCTTAAACCAGAGAGGAACAGGGTAATAGAAAATATTTTCCCAGGACCAGGAATCAGGAGGACATTAAGCAAAGGATAAAAAAGTCAGTATTCAGATTAGTGTCACATGATGAGAAGTCTAGCTAGGAAGGGGTTTCTATCCTTGGCTGGCCAGAGACCAGGCAGGATGCTCAGGGTGAAGCTCTCCAGTCAGTCTGATCTCAAAGGTCTGGGGGCCAGCATGGACAGACTCAGAACAGGGAAGAGACCAAAGCTTTAGTGTTGACCAAAACCCCATCTGGGCCCCAGGAATCCATATACCAGTGGCCTGATCCACTGGGGTGAAAAACCTCACAATAGCTAGACTTCCTCCATCAAACTTTTCTTTTGTATTTTTGCTGGCTTGGTTTAATTCATTTCATGTAATTTATGGAGTTCTGGAGACAGCACAAATGTTGGTGATACCACTGCCATCATCAGCTTTGTCTTGTCCAATGCCTGGCTTCATGACTGAGCTCAAGAAATGTAAGCATATCAGTTATTTGTTTGAGTGGAAACAGAAGGGGAAAGCCAGGCCTGGAAAAGGCCATGTTTATCCCATCTCATTTTATTTCCTCCAAGGGATCCTGGCAACAAAAAGCCTTCCCATTTCAGTTTCAATGCTATTTGAATAAATTATAGAAAAAAAATGTTAGCAAGGTGAAAAATTGAAACTCATTGGACATACCTGCGTTGCAATAAATATTTTTTTGAATGGAATAAAGAATGAACAAGGCGAGCTAGGCTTATGGCTTAGAGGCAGAGCATTCACCTAGCATGTGTGAGGCACACATACAAATAAAAAAAAAGATATTGTGTCCACCTATAACTAAAAAATAAATATAAAAAAATGAATGAGGGTCTTTTGTGCATATATCTGGTGAGACAAACATAACTAAGGACCTGATATAATGAATAAGAGACAGGAAAGTGCAATTGTAAGAATAACCACAGTGGAGAGAAAACCAAGCTAAGGTCAGATAATAAGAAAAAAGAACAAGCAGGTCTAGGGGAGCAGGAGGACTAAGAGAATGCCAGCTTTAGAAGAGGAGGAAACTGTTTCTTGGAGTAGGTGACAGTAGTAGACTCAATTCCATGGCTTTGGACAAGGACACAACATTATCTTGTTGTTGCTGCTGAGGTCCCAGGAGCCAGATGTGGACTATCAGGTGTCTACCTGCCAAGGGGAGTCACTAGACTTGACCCATTCTGGGGCAGTGGGAAATGGGTCTGGTAAGGCGAAACAGGTTGAAGTAAGGACCTGAACTGCAGGTAAGGAAGCCTCATTGCAGAATTGGAAATATCTTAAGAATTGGCTGTAAGGTGCTGGGGATGTAGTTCATTGGTAGAGTATATGCTTAGCATGTGAAGACCCTGGGTTTGACCCCTAACATTAAAAAAGTAAAAAGAACAAAAAGAAAGAATTGACTATAGAAAACCGCTCTATTCTCATAGTATTAATGTTTTGAGAGGGCTAAACATCCCATGTAAGTCAATACAGTTCTCCACAGAAAGAATAGTTTTGGTTTTTTTTGAGGGGGGTTTGAGGGTTTGTGTGTGTATATGTGTATGTGTTTTATTTATTTTATTTTTGGAGGCTGGGGCTCAAAATCAGGGTCTCATCATGCTAAGTGTGTACCCTACCACTGAACTATAGCTACATCTTCCTTAGCCCCCTAAGTGAGACTTATTCCTTTTTGGGTGGTGTTTCATTTACCCAGAATTTATAATGCAATAGTTCTGAGGCAAAGGTGGTAAGAATTCCAGCTTTTCTAATACTTAGAATAATAAATTATTGATATAAAATAAGCTCTTAATTATTCTTTTAAAAATATTTCTTAGTTGTAGATGGACCTTTATTTTTATTTGTTTGTTTATATGCAGTGCCAAGAATCAAACCCAGTGCCTCACACATGCTAGGCAAGTGCTCTAACACTGAGCTACAACCCAAGCCCTCTTAATTATTCTTAATCCATCTTTGTTTTAATAAATGTTGGATCATACCCACTTTTTAAAAAAAGGAATTGGTAGAACATTTGCTACGTGTTTCTAATCAGCACAAAAGATTCATAAAGACAGCAGGTAGAGTGCAGGCCAGTGTTCTGCAAGACAGAAACATTAGAGAATTTCAGAAGGGAGCTCCACAGGCATTCAGAGTTGCCTTTAGAGGTAGATCATTCTGGCTTCAAGGCTGAGCTCTGCATATTACTTATGGAATTTTGAACAAGTTTCTAAGTCATTCTGACTTTCCTTCCCTATCTCTAGAAGTTAGAGAAGTAATTCCTACCCAATCTATTGTGAGGATTAAGTGGAATAACAAATATAAATAAAGTACCTAGCATATAGAAGTTGCTTAAGAATTGGAGACTGTAATTATTTCTCTCTGGAAAGTCAAAGAAAGGCAGCTGGAAGTTAGAAAAGAAATCTGTCCAGGAAGGAAATGCAGTTGTCCCTCAGTATTATGGGAGATTGGTTCCAGGACCCCTATATGTATGAAAATCCAAGGATGCTTAAAGTCCCTTGCATAAAATGGCATGGTGTTTTCATACAACCTAAGCAATCCCTCTGCATACTTTAAATCATCTCTAGATTACTTATCAAACCTAAAATAATGTAAATGCTATGTAAATAGTTTTATACTATAGCATTTAGAGACAAATGACAAAAATAAAAGTCTGTACATGTTTGGTACAGATACAATATTTTTCTTGAGTATTTTTAATTCATGGGTGGTTGAGTCCATGAATATGGAACCTGTGGATACCAAGGGCAGGCTATTTCCATTCCTCTCTGAGCAGCAAGTTGGGAGTTGGTGCCAAGCAGACCTGCATGCAGTGCATAGATGAGTTCATCAAGCCTGAGGCTTCCTGCTAGCACTGGCCACATTCTTCCAGGATCTAGAATTACTTGTATGCTGGTCAATTCCTTCATCAGACAGGCTAGGAACACCTAGCAGGCAAGGGTTGTGCCAGGTATCTGTTTTATCACAAACAAATGGCATTCAGTGGTGCTTACTAAGTGCTGACTGAGTTGAATTGACTGCAGGTACAGTGCTCACTATTGTAAAGAGAAGCTGAGGGGACCATCTCCCAGCTGAGTGCTCTCGGGAAAGGGAAAGAAGCGGGTGTCTGCAGCTGCCACAACCAACACCTGGCCAGCAGTTCCTACCCGATTTCCACTCCTGGTCCCTCCCACCACCAACACCTTCCTATCTTACCCTGCTTCTTTTTGGCCTTCCAAGCCTCTGTGGCAGCCAGAGACAAACGCGGTGAAGAGAGTCCCCTGCGGCTGCAGAGGCTGTCTGAGCTGGGCCAAGGATTGGAGGTCTGGGCCAGCTGGGGCGGGAGGCGCCTGGCAGCTGGGGCCTGTGGGCTTGGCTGGGCTGGAGGGCTAGAGGGCAGCTCAGCGATGAGAGAGCCATAAAAAGTGCTGGTGTCTGGAAGCAGGGGAACACCAGGGCTTCTGGGGTCCCAGGAGATCACTGCAGTAAAAATGACAGGAGGAATTATGGTGAACACATTGTAGCCCACCTCCCCACTCTCCATCCCTAGGATCCTTGCCCCCCAAAAATATGCTTACAGGAGCGCCGACAGTCTAGAGGGTCCCGGGGGTCTACTCCCAGTCGACTGTTGAGGCTGCTGCTGCTGCTGAGGTCTCGAGAGCCAGAAGTGGAACGCCAAGTGTCTGCCAGCCAGGGGGAGTCACTGTGGTCCATTCTGGGGCAATGGTAATGGTGGGTGGGGGACATTAGGCAGGGAGAAAAATGGGAACCTAATTGGCCAAGACCGCTAGATCAGAAGAAGTTAATGAGAGCGTAATATCAGCTTTATCTTTACTTCTTTTCAGCCATCCATAGACTCTGACTTGGTGCCCCAAATTCAGTGCCTCTTTTTATCCTAGGACCAGGGAAAGACCAAGTTGCCAAGAATTGTGGGGTATTAAGGAGAGAAAGCTATGGACAATGAGGTGAAAAAAAAAAAAAAGATCTGGAGCCAGCAAACATGGGTTGACAATCCCTAGGCACCACAGTTTACAGCCCCTGTCAAGTAAATCAATTAGCTTGTCTAAGCCCATGATTCCCCATCTGTAAACTGGAAACAATAAGACCTTTCATATAAGGTTGACACTGTGAATTTAAAGGAGGAAATGTGAGATCATTCAGCTGGTAAATTAAGAGCTTGCTAAATGAATATTGCTTTCCAGCTACCTATGTGATCCTTTAAGAACAAGGACCTGATCAAAGCAATTCTTTACCTAGAACTTTCAGTGTCTCCCTGTTTACCAAGGTAAGAGTCCAGATGCCTAGCACAGTGAACAGGGCCCTTAGTTTGGTTTCCAGCTTCCTAACCTAACTTTGCTCTAACACATTCATACCTTATTCCCCAACCAGAAAAAAATACTTGTCTTTTCATGTGGATGTAGCAGGTGATTTTTTTTGTTTCTCCATCTGCCCTTTCCATTTTTACTGTCAGAATAAATACGGAATTTTTTTTTCTCCTGTTTCTCCACTCCAATCCTTTCCATGCATCTTATACATGCTTTTGTGCTGCCAAAACTGGGTTGTTTTCATGCCTGTCTCTGCCTAGACTGAAATTTCCTGGTGGATGGAGACTATTCCAAAGGAACGGATGAACCAAACAATTAGAATGGAATCTCCTTCAAGAACAAAGAAGATCCCAGGGGAGCCAGAGAAAGTTCATGTTGGAGCACACAGTGCTCAGGAGATAGCTGGAAGAGGGAAGCCGATGAACACAGAAAAACTCAGGAACACAATGCCAGCCAGCTTGGAACTTTGCTCTAGACAGAGAATCTGACAGCAAAATGGCAGCTCCTCTGGCGTGGTGATGCACACCTGTAACCCCAATATCTTGGGAGGCTAAGGCAGGAGGATTGTGAGTTCAAAGCCAGCCTCAGCAACTTAGCATAGTGCTAAGCAACTCAGTGAGACCCCGTCTCTAAATAAAATACAAAATAGGGCTGGAGATGTGGCTTAGTGGTCGAGTGCCCCTGAGTTCAATACCTGGTACCCCCCCCCTTCCAAAAAAAAGGGCAGCTCAAGGCCTGGATATATATAGCACATAAAAGATTCTCAATAAACTTTAGTTGACCAATGCAGATCTAGAGTGTGAAGCCTCCTATAGGATATTCAACCAAATGAAGAGCAAAACAAGTAGGCAAAGAGATGGAATGGTTTCTTAGTGCAAAACCTGGCTACTAGGAGAAAAAAGGATGCATACTTTCTTAGTATCACATCTCATGATTTGGCAGCAAATCAGATGGAGCAGAAGTACCTACAGGATGGCCCTGTTTTTGAATAATGAGTTAGAAGCTAAGATGCAGGGATTGAATGCCCTCTGCTGGAAGTATGGATGAATAATGGTGCAGGTCTGGTTGCTCAGTGCAAGATTATTCACAGAATGCAAAGGCACTACTAGGTAGACACCGAGTATAGAGAAAACTAGACATTAAAACTGGTCATATTGTAATTATTAACTCTGGAGTTAATAGAGTGCAGTGCATATCAGTAAGAGGCAGGTGACAAGAGCATTGGATGGGGGGTTTAGAAGCCCAGCTGCTAGGGCTGGGGATACAGTTCAGTTTGTAGAGTGCTTGCCTCGCATACACAAAGCCCTGGGTTCAATCCCCAATACCAAACAACAATAACAACAAACAAAACAGAAAGCCAGCTGCTAACTGAAGCCTTTAGCAGAATCTCTTGTTTGATGACTCTCAGCTGTCAAGTGGTACAATAGAACAATAGTGAAAGGGAAATTAGCTGTCACTTGGAGTCCCTGGAGAGATTCAGATACTAAGATTCCAAACTGCCTGGCATTCTATTTCCTATCCCAACTCCACTGTCTCTTGATCCCCCTCTGCCTTTCCTTCATTCAATGTCCCTCCCCTTTGATTACTCACCTGTGTTTTAAGATGGCATCCTCACTGGTGTACCTGTAGAGACCTGAAAGTGAGAGAAAGGCTAAATCTATCATCTGGCCAGAGATCTAAACTTCTGTAGCCATTCTGGCTGGACCAGGGGAGGCCTGTGTACCGGGAGGTCCCCACTGTCACCTGGGCCCAGGTGCACACCAGCTCGGCGCCGGCGGTGGATGCACACAGCAGTGCCCAGCAGCATCAGCCAGAGCAGGACACCTCCGCTTGCGATGACCTCTGGCCGCCTCAAGGTGGCCCTCAGCTGCTCCAGGGTCCAGAGACCGTGCTTGCTGGGTTCTCGGGCAGATCGCTCACTGGTCTGCTCTGTATAGGATGGGATGTGGAGCTCAGGAGGAGGTCCAGTGAGGTCCAGCAGATAGGAATAAGAAGCTGGAAAGTGTGAGGCAGGAGAGGATAGGGGAGGGGAAGGGGGGCTCGAGGATATGGGTAAGGCCTGAGGGTGCTGTCCTCACCTAAAAGGAGGCAGACAGGGGTACTGGGTTTCCCAGCCCCAGCACCAGTGACTGCAGCCACTTGCACACAGTAGAAGCCTGGTATTCGGGTGGTAATCTCCAGCTGGGTCTGCTCACCCACTACGGTCCAGTTGACTGTGGGCAATGAGGTATTGCCCACGCTGCAGACCTGGGGCAGAAGCAAAGGTGAATAGCTGTCTCAGGCACTGTCACAGCAACTGAGCCTGCCTTCAATCTGCAGACTCAGTATGTGGCCATCCTGTGCTGCCACCTACTGGGGACCCTCCTCCCAACAAGTGTCATAGTTCCTATTCCCCACTTCTCTACCAAGCAAGATAGACTTTTCTCTAGACAGAAGAAGGGTAAAGTAATTTGCTAAATATGCCTAACACTATCAGTTCTGAAACTTCAGCATGCTTTAGAATCACCTATAGCCTTTTTAAAATACAGGTGGCCAAGACCATTCTTGAGTTTCTGATTCAGGAAGCCTGGGAAAGGACCTGAGAATCTGTATTCCTAATAAGTTCCCAGGGGTGATGCTTATATTGTGGATCCAAGAACCACACTTTGAGTCCCACTGATATAGCCTGGTTCAATTCCTGTTCTTTTTCTTGTGTCTATGCACAGGTACGGTTCCTCAGTAGCTACAGCAAGAAAAGGGGGGTGATGGTCCCTTGAGGAAAGGCTTTGTCCGTTTGTAAAGTATACCTGGTATCCACGGATGACACCATTGTGGTTTTCAGCAGGTGGTGGGACCCAGCTCACAAGGATACTTCCATTGCCAGGTTTTAGGGTGACTTCCTGGGGTGGGGCACTGGGCACTGGAGGGAAGGTAGAGAGGCTAAGTAATGCTAATCCTTCAGGACTCTTTCAGGAAAAAAAGTTAGAATGGGAGACAAAGAGTTAGAGTCCCGTTAAAGACAATAGAAGCTCTGTTTAGTTCTGCTTGCCTGGCTGGGCAGAAGAGAATCCAAGAGTGGGACAGTCCAGGGGTACTCAGTCAAGAAGGAGCCTGGGGTTGGGTTCTAGGCAGATCTGTTCCTGACCTTGTTCTGGCAGCCTCAGGAGTAGCACATTGCTGTCAGGGCCTCGAGCCCGACCAGAGGATGGTCTCACTTTGAACTCGTAGTCTTGGCCCCAGTGGAGGCCCCCAAGCTCTGCACTCTGCCAGCCAACCAGCAGCTCCTCTGCCCATGGAACTGCCTGGCCTCCTGAGGCAGTCTGGGTCCGGAACAAGGCTGTGTAGGACTGAGCAGGTGCAGCTGGACCACTCACCTGTGAAGGTAGAGAAAGGGTGAAGGGTGGTTAGGGAGCTCCCAACAATACTTTCTTGAGCTCTGAACTGGCTCTTACCCCTGAGTCCTGTGTCTTACCTTCCAGCTGAGCCAGACAACAGGCCCCGATTTGGGACTTTTCTCAGGATCTGGGTTCAGCAGGGTCACATTTTCTAGCTGAATGCGCACAGCCAAAAGTTCCAGAGGTTCCTTGTGGTCCTGGGACTCTGTGAGAAGCATAGGGCTGGGGTGAGGCCTACAGGCCAAAGTGAAGGGATGGAGGAATGTAACATCCCCCAGCCATGGAGGAACTCAAATTCCCAGAGTTCTTAGGTCTAGGATGCTCCTATTTCACTCCAGTAAGGGGGAAACTTCCCTTATAGGGCGCCCCTGTCACCCAGACCCAGATCCTGATCCCAGGGTGAGCCCTGATACCTTAATATAAATCCAAATCTGACCATCCCATCCTAACTAGAATTCCCCCAATCTGCTTAAGTAGACCATCCCTTACCCTGGACAGATACCCTGGCTGCCCGGCTCTCCCGTTGTCCTGCATTGTTGTTGGCCACACACATATAGGTCCCTGTATCGCTCTTCTCTGCTCTTTCCACCAGCAGAGAACCCTTGGACATCTGTCAGGGACATGTACAAAGTGAAGTTTTCAATGTAGGTGGGGTTCTGAGGCTGGAGGGCAGCTTCAGGATTTCCCCTCCTCTAATTCTGCCAGGGGATACAGGGCTAGGGAGCCGGTCAGTCCCTCAGATACACCAATTGTGCCCAGGACAGAATGAAGGACAGAAGGGGGCTCCACTCACCGTGTGCCGCCCTGGCTGCAGAACTAGGGGTTTCCCATCTTTCCACCATGAAACTGAGGGCTTTGGGTAGCCCCAGGGTGGTCCACACTCCAGAATAACTTGCTCCCCCACCACAGCCACCTTGTCTCGAGGCTGGATCTGGAAATCCTCCTGGAGGACTATGGGGAGGACAGCAGGTCAGCAGGACTCAGGGCTCAGGCCTTCCTTTCCCAGGGTCTTGCATTGGCATCTCCTGCCATAATCACCCTATTCTGCTTTGCCCACCTTCTGAGCCTCACATGTAGGTTCAGGCAAAGCCAGCTTTCCCTCCAAGGACCCCCAGCCAGGCTACCCCCTTACATATCGCTCAGCACAAATATCTCATCTCAGGTCTCTCCACCCTCAGCCTCCCCTCCCAGTCCTCACCAGCTACAGATAGCCGAGCCCCTCTGCTGACTGCTGTGCCCAGTTCGTTGCTGGCCTCACATGTGTACACGCCCAAGACTGTGGTTAGGGCCTGGTCATCATAGGTATGTCCCCGGGCAGGAGGCCGCAGCAACAAAAGAGTTCCATCAGGTAGGAGGTGGTGTAGGTCTGGGGACGTCATGCTCAGAGGCTGCCCATTCTGAAGCCAGCGGATAGTAGGAGGTGGCTGGCCTGATGCTTTGCAGCTCATCTTGGCAGGGCCAGAGCCCTGGAGCAGCTGGTCCTGGGGGTGAACTAGAATCTGAGGTGGGAACTCCTGAGCCTTGCTGCCTGGGAGGGAAAAGGAAACAGAGCTGGGTCTGACTATCCACAAGACTCCCAAATCCATGCACCATACTATGTTCCCTTGTGCAGGAGTTTGTCTGACGGTCTTTACTACTGACAGTTCATTCCCAAATAACAAGCTAGCTGGGAGAGGTCAGGGCCAGCATGCACAGCATCCAGGCCAGAGCTTGCATAGTCTCTCTGTCATACACACTTACTCACACATACACACTATGGTTACCATCATCTTATCTCTGGCATGCCCACTGCAAAGGGAAGTAAAAGAGCCAATGCTCTTTGAGCCTTGTATCAGGGAGCATGGGCTAGGAGAGGGAGGGCCCCACTCACCCAGAACGAGCAGAAGAAGGAGAAGCAGGAGCCACCTGACCCTAAGGAGGCCCATTCCTCCAGATCCCATGGCTGCTTTCAGGCCTCTCTGTCTGTGTCCCGAGCACTTTGTCCCACTGCTCTGAGCTCACAGCAGAGAGAAGGAGGGGCTGGGTGGGGTGGCCGTGGTTGTTTGTGACTGAGACTCTGCCCCAGTAGGGAAGCAGCTTTGAGGAAACCGATGCTTCCTGCCTGGCCCTCAATGCCTTGGAGAACTGGGCGGAGATTAGAGGCGAGAAACTCCCTGACCTCCACCTTTTGGCCATAACCCCTGACCCTAACTACAGCCCTAAGGTTTATCTCATGTCTGGTTTGGAATTTCTGAAAGGGAATCCTAACACCATAACTCTACCCACCTCCTTAATCCTCCAACCTTAAAATTCTTCCTAAATACTATTCTTTTTTTTTTTTTAAATTTTTTATTTTTTTTATTGGTTGTTCACAACATTACAAAGCTCTTGACATATCATATTTCATACATTAGATTGAAGTGGGTTATGAACTCCCAATTTTACCCCAAATGCAGATTGCAGAATCACGTCGGTTACACATCCACAATTTTACATAATGCCCAATTAGTAATTGTTGTATTCTGCTACCTTTCCTATCCCCTACTATCCCCCCTCCCCTCCCCTCCCATCTTCTCTCTCTACCCCATCTACTGTAATTCATTACTCTCCTTGTTTATTTTCCCATTCCCCTCACAACCTCTTATATGTAATTTTGTATAGCAATGAGGGTCTCCCTTCATTTCCATGCAATTTCCCTTTACTCTTCCTTTCCCTCCCATCTCATGACTCTGTTTAATGTTAGACTTTTCTTCCTGCTCTTCCTCCTTGCTCTGTTCATAGTTGCTCTCATTATATCAAAGAAGACATTTGGTATTTGTTTTTTAGGGATTGACTAGCTTCACTAAGTACTATTCTTGAATCTCAATCTTTACCCCTTTGCATCCAGGTGGCCCCTTGCACAGTAGAGTGGAAACTAAGAGGTGATCACAGGGACACAGTGCTAAGAAGCTGAGGACAGAGGGCAATGGGGCTGTGAGCCATGGAGAATACTTGCAGAGGAGCAGGAGTGGATGCTCACTCCATGGTCCATTTCCCCAGAGACACATGGGGCTGGGGGCAAGGGAGGCCAAAAGATAGGAAAGAATCAGAACATCTGGCTCTGCAGCTTCCCAGTCTGCCATATCAGCCCCTCCCCACAACCTGGAGAGGCTGCTCTCCCCTCTCAGAGCCTAGCTCCTGTTTACAGGTCTCTTCCTTCCAAATCTGGAATCTCAGCCATTTCCTGGAGCTGCTCACGGAAGGCCAAGGCCAGGCTCTAGGCCTCAGCGAAAGAGCGACTAGGCTTTGTTCTCCATTGTTCTGAACAGCTTCTCCGCAGGGCCCCTAACCCAGCTGGCTCCCACCCTTCCTCCCCTTCCAAAACAGCCAGGCTTCAGGGCCAGCCTCAGCCCTAACAGCCTACCCAATGGAAGGCCTCTTTCACTTCTCCTCTTTCCCCTCAAACTGAGACCAAGATCAGTTAAGACTGAATCAGAGCAACAGAACACCATGGTCTCTACAAACTAGGGGCTTCCACAGCATTAAGAACAGACAGAATGAATATAACAGAGTGACAGCTAGAAGGATAGGAACTAGAGCCAGAGAACAGAATGTGAGATTTCAGAAGTGGAAGTGGTTAAGGGAGTGTGGCCAAGTCCGAGACTTGGGTCCATATGTGGCCGCCAGAGGGGAGGGGGGTTCACAGGGCCAAAGATCCATAGGGCCAGATTGATAAAGGAACATTCATACAGACACTAAAGCGAGCCATGGAAAAGACAAGAAAGGATGTCAGGGGGAGCAGATGGGCTTACGTCACTAGGGCCAACTTGAAATTTCCCAGCTAGGGAGCCTCCAAGAGTTATTGAGATCCTTGCTGCTCCCTGCAAGAATTTTGCTGTGAACAAAGAGTCACTCCTTAAAGTCACTCCTGTTCCTACATTGTACTTGGGGGAGACTAACCAAGTTCTCTGCTAATGTTTTAATGCCAATTTGATTTTACTCAAGTTTCTATAATCCAGAAAGATGCTATGTGTTGCCCCTGAGGAAAAAGAAGACAGGTCTTAAAGGAATTCAAGTCCACCACTAGCCCTATCCTCAGCCAAGTGAGAATGAACAGATGAGACAAGGAGAAGTGCTGGTGATATACCACAGGGATGGAACCCCAGAGGTTGTGGCAGCTGAGGAATAGTCCCTATCCCAATAGTCACTTGTCCCATGTCTGGAGGTCACCTTCTGAACAACCACTCCCTGCTCCCAGACTCTGAAGAGCCAAGTGCTAAGAACTAAAGAGGATGATGGAGGGACCAATCACTCTGAGCCTTTCCTGTTAGACATTAAGGATCCTTCTCAGTCAGTCCAAGCGTCCGGGGCACTCAGGGATACATGGAGTGATTGCCAATGGAACTTCCCAACAGGGAGATTTGTCTGGATGGCTCTCAGAGGTCACAATGCCCATTTCCAGCAACCTGTCACATCAGCACCACAATTGTCTCATTTCCACAAACTAAGGAAGAGCTAAATGCATGAGTCATGGGGATGATGTGGATGGATGGGAGCCGCTTCCTCTTGTTATTTCAGGGAAACCATTCTGGGGTTATGCAGGCCCAGTGGCCAGTTTAAATACTACGTTCTGTCACCCCTCGTTGTAGTGTTTTGTATTTTTGTGAATAACTCCTTAGTTGTTTATAAGAAGGAGGAGAGAGAAGAAGGGTCAGGAGCTCTTCTGAGTGACCCTTCAGAGGAAATTCTTCTTCATCCGGTTCCTGGCTACTCTGGCTTCCTGTAGTGTGTTTTCTGAAGATGCAGCTGGGGGCTCCTGCTGGCCAAGCTGTTTGGGTAAAAGGAATGAACTCAAGGGAGATGAAGCCTTGCTCGTACATCTTATGGACCAAAAATTCTGAATAATTTGTATAACCTCTCTGAACCCATTTTGTCATCTATAAAATGTCTGCATGAAGCTTGTGGATAGTGGATATGAAAGTGTGTTGGAAACACTAAGTCTGGTTGAATTGTCCTTAAGTGTTCTGGGGACAGCATACCCACCTCCCTGACCAGCACAACCACAGCCAGTCTCAACCATACCTAGCCATTTTGAAACCTTGAGATCTAATCCTTTTTTACCTTTTTATTTCTTTTCTTTCCTTAGGGCTTGAGCCAGCTTGGTTCCAATCTCTATATTCTCATCTTTCTTCCAAGTTGCCAAAAAAGTGGAGGAAAATTGAGTCAAGAGAGGACACAGTAATTACTTCCTCTTTGCTGGCTGGAAAAAGTTGCCCTGATGGCACTTTACTGGCACAACTTTTATTCCCTAGTGCCTGGTCCCATTCCTGGGACCTGAAATCACATTTAATACCCTAAACCCCACATTTTCTGCACTTTCTCCACACCAATGATTATGGGTCCCACCTACACGGAACACATGCATTTGAAGATTTCAAAGGCAGCCAACATCAATATTTAACCATCTGCTCACATGTCTAGAAAGAAGGGGAATCAGTTAGAGTACTTTGTTCATCTTGTCATACCCCCCAGCCAAAGACCACCAAAACACGCCTGGTGTTGAACAAGTTGGGTTTATTGTTTCTTACCTAGAGAAAGTGCATTCCATGCGGAACTGTGGTGTGTCTCAGTAGGAGGGTTGTTAGAAAGAAACTTATTGGATGGGGGCTATGACTGGATAATTTTGAGAAGGATCTAAGGAAGTTAAGACTTTGCCCTGAATTGGATGCTATAAGGAAAAAAGTATATTCTGTGATTCTTTGCAGAAGAGTGTCTTTAATAATTTCCTTGCAATGTAGTGTCTAATCAAGTAGTTCTTTTTCTATTATGAACAGTGCTGCCCTGCCTCTTTATTTTATACATCTTTGTTTTGGTTTGAACATATCCCCTCAGAAGCATGTGTTAGAAAGTTAATTCTCAATGCAAGTATTGGAAGGTGGGGCCTAATGCCAATTAAAAAGGGGCTTGAGGATGTGATTCCATCTCTCATGTTCTCTCTTGTCCTTATACCACTGTTACTATGCAGCAAGAAGGCCTGACCAGATATAGACCCCTGGACCTTGGACTTTCCAACTTCCCAAACTGTAAGAAATGAATCTTTATTTATTTTTTATAAATTATTTAGCCTTAGGTATTCTGATTTAGCAGCATAAAATTAACTAAAATAATCTTCTAGTATAATATTAAGTGTTTCTTTAGGAAATAAATATAGGAGTAGAATTTCTGGGTCTTGGGGCATCTGATATTCAACTTTAGACAATACTGACCGATTGTTTTCCAAAGCAGTTGTATGAGACCTTAAAGCACATCCTCAGAACAGTTGGGGGACTTTTTTTTGCCAGTCTAATAAAATAGTATTTTACAGTTGTCCTATTTGCATTGTCTGGTTAAAAAGTAATGACTGAATGTCTTTCCAAGTATTTATTTACCATTTGTGTTTTCTCTTTTGGTACCTATTTCTACTTTTTGACCATTTTTCTATTGCTTATAAGTCTTTATCTCAGTAACCCTCAGGACTTTTTATATTCTGGATAATAATTCTCTGGATTAGAGAACTGTTGCAAAAACAAGTTTGACTTGGTATTTTCTTTCTGTACAATATTTTAAAAGTTCTTGATTTTCCTCCAGATAAATTTACTAATATTTTTACATTTAGTACACTATTTCTATTTTTAAAAACCTCCTCTACATGAAAGTAAAAATAAGCTTCTCCTATATTTTCTTCTAGAAGTTTAAAATGTTCACATTTGAGTCTTCATATCACTAATGGATTATTTTATATGGCTTGAATAGGAATACACTTTTTAAGGTGGCAAACAATTATTCCAGCACAATGGAATAATTGTTTGGTCTCTGTGACCTGTTATGATTCCTTCATCACACATCAAAAAAATATATATATATATATTCATGAATACTGCACTATCTCAAATTTTGAAGCTATATAATAAGCTTTGATATCTAGTAGGATGATCTTCTCTCCTTTCTTTCCTTTTTATTTTTAAAATGTCATTTTTTCTTTCATTCTTTTAAAAAATGTGCTTTTAAATTGTCAAATAATAATTGTACATTTTCAAGAGGAATAGTATGAGGTTTTATGTGTTTATACATGGTGCAATAATCAACTCAG